TGCAGCTTAGTTGTGTGAAGCATTCCCTAGTCTGCTTCTCTAACTGGACTTACTGTAAATTGTAGGTTTTGCGGTGGCCCACCCGGAGGCAGACGTATAACTTTGGGGCAGTAACTTGCCAAGCCTAAAATGCTTCACTTTCAACTTTCTGTTATTAACCTTGATTGTCTGGTGGATTTTTTATCCAATAGAACAAACTTAGCGTAGAATTGCTTCCTTCTCTCAGTATTGAGGATAGGTAGATGCCTAGAGCTACGCCATAGAACTTGGATGATTTGTGCATGGGATGAGACAGGAGGTAACATTGTAAGAATATGAGGAGTTTAATTTAATACCCTAAACTTTATTCTCTTTGGGGAAAGACATCTGAAGTGGCACTTTAGAATCTCTTCACTCGAATTTTCATCCACTTTGATACACCTCTTTTTGCTCTATTTTAGTTGAAGCTAGTGCCTTTTCTAGCGCGAAAGGCATGGTGGACACTTCTGTGGGCTATCGCTATCGCCGTCTCTCCCAATTCACTATGGGTGGCATCTACGAGTGCAACTCGCGATGCAAGTGTGACCGACGCTGCCAAAATCGTGTGGTGCAACAAGGCGTCTGGGTCCGGACTCAAGTCTTCAAAACAAACCGAAAGTGAGTTGAAGTGTCTTACTCCTCCTTGATGGTGAAATAGGTAATAGCTATACCTTCCATGGGTTAATTTTCCGGTTGAGACTTAGCTCAAACCACGACTTTTTAACAAGAGAATCAGAACCAATGTCTTGGTTTAGGCTAAGTCCTCTTTTACAGATCAGAACGATTTTTATAGGTACTGATTCTTCGTTGTTTCCTTGTTATTACTCCAAACGATGCACAACAATATCCCCTGCCCTCAGACTATCAGATGCATTGCTGAACAGACGCTTAGGCAACAAAGTTGGGGGCATAGATGATGCAGAGAGTAGGTGAATTTGTAGCACCAGTGTGTGTGAGCAGTGAGTGGTCATTTTTAAGATTAGCCTCCTTGCTGTACGGTGTTTCTGTAGCACAAATGTTTTTTTTTTCTTTGTGAAATTCTGAATTTTATTGTATTGTCAAGGGGGGAGCAAATGTTAGTGCACTGAGGATGTGGTTCTCATGATTGTCCCATCACCGAAACAGACAGTGGACCATTTTGCTACACCTATGTCCCTGGGAAGGTGGAATCGAATAGCATCCATCCAGGTCTGTGATTGAATTTTGATGACAATCGTGCCCGTACAGTATTTTGGTTCGGGGCCCTCCTTGTGATCAGCCGTAATCTCCAAACCACGAACTTGGAGTGCACCTTGTCTCTAAAATTATCACAGGCTATAAACTTATGAATATGTTTTAATTAAGTCTTACGGTTCGGTGTCAGAAACGCCTTTAAGCGAATCATCCTTCCACCTCTGTAATTTCACAAAGTCACGGAAACCATTGTCGGTTGTTTTTTTTTTTGCTTATGGAAATTGGCAACTGAGGTGGAGTACAAGTACTTATAATAGTAATTTAGTGAGTGAGTTTTCTTTATCCAAAGTGAATTGTTGAATTAGCCTTAATCAGTATGATTTTCATCATAGGGGTTGGGGCATACGTGCGCTGAACGCCATTCCAAAGGGTGCCTTCATATGCACCTACGCCGGGGCAATTTACGATGACACTAAGGCAATTGAAGTAGGTTCAAAGTTTGTTCAACTTTACGAAAAAAAGGAAAAAAATTGTCGTTTTACTGCATCCTCCCCTTTGTTCACCCTTTAGGAGGGCTACGACAATGGTGATGAGTACCAAGCCGAATTAGATTACATAGAGACAGTAGAGAAGCACAAAATAGACTACGAGCCCTATGCGATCGAGCCGGAGGAGTCGTCCGACTTGGATCCACCTTCCTCCAATCCCATCGTCGCCCAAATCCGCCCTCCGACCTCCGCTCGAACTGCCCGTAAACACAGTGGTCATGTTGGTCACGTGCGTTGCAATTCTTCCTCCTCTGTCTCCTCCTATTCCGCATGTTCCAATGTCTCCAAGGTCGGTGACAAGGCTGGTGGAGAAATTGATTCGACTGTAGAGCAAGGAGACATTAAAATATCTCCACCATCATCTACCGTCGGTGAAAGTGATGAAACAACGGCAATAAGCTCCATTTTGGACCAAGCATTGGCGTTTGCCAGTTCTTCATCCACCATCCATATTCATAAAGCGGAAGAAGGAGAAGATGGAGGAGAAAGCCTAAAACTTCATGAAGCGAAGTTTAATCCGGAGGCTGTTGCTATAAAAAAGTGCGAGGATTTGCCGAAGAGCATGATGGAGACCTCCGAGGCAGAGGTGGCTGAAGAGTCGAGTGACGGAAACCTCCGGAACAAGCACTCAGGGTTATCTGGCACAAGTCGGGTTAATAAGATCAAAAGTGAGGAGTCTAATTCGTGCACCGAGAATGCAGATAGCGTATCAACTTATTCTTGCTCCAGTGATGTGCCCTTACCTGATTCAACTGCTTTCAATACTGTATTGCCAATGGATGTTGTCACCAGCGAGGGAGATAACACAAGCGAGAAACCTTTGGAGCTTTCCGAATTCACCATCGCAGCACCTGGTTTGACGTCTTTTGGGGGTATTTCCAATCTGTCGGAAATCATGTCTTCTGCCTCCTTTGATCGTCTCCCAGTAGTTCAATTGACTAGACTCTCTAAGAAGGACAAACGTAAGTAACATTTCTACGACTTCTACCTCCGATTTTCCGCTATCTTGGATCCAGTTAGGGCCTCTCATGTGATTAATTCGCTGCGGAGCCTATCTGACGAGGGAAGTTGCAAAAGTGGGACCGATTTTGTGAAATTGCAGAGTAACCCCATAGTTGACACGTTAGTCACTGAACCGCATATCTTTGTAAAGAATTTATTGCAATGCCAAAATGTGCAGCAGTCATGCTTTGACAAGGAAATCAGATCGTCATGTGTACATGATGCTGGTCGTAAATGTTTTATACCACCCTGTTCCGACTCAATTCTGTATGTTTGCTTGTAGGTCTTGCCTCTCTTTCTATGAAGCAGTCACGAGGAGGCACACGAAGTCACCTGTCCGACCGCTTGTCTGGAGAAAAAGTGTGGCTTTCGTAAGTTGGATGTAGTAGGGCAGCTAAAATTAATTTCTCCCTCTACAAGCATTCTTCATTTTAAACTGAATCCCAAATTTTCTTATTTTTACTTGTCAGTCCGGCTAGAAGGTCTCTTTTAAGAAGTTCAAAACCGTCACCTCTGACGATGGCTTATCGTCCAACAGGACCCCGTCAGCTATTGCTCGTGGCTAGCCTCAAGAAATCAGCTTCCAATGCCGATATTGCTTGCTCCACTTCACACTCCACCGAACCCAAAAGGTACATTTCCGCATCACCACTGTGACAGCTAAGCCACCATCTCCCTACCACGTGGCCGCCTATTCTTCGTGAGGGCTTAAACTTAACTCACTGAATGACTCTTCTGTACAACTAATCTCTCAGTCCCTCAAATCGTTGACTCAGTAGTTTATTTGGTCCTTTGTACACTTATTAGATCAAGTTCGGCTGTTGATCTGCTGCGGATGAACCAATCGCAGGCCAAAGCAGGTAATGCAGACCTTGTATTATTTGTTTGTGCTTTTGTGGAACTTTTCCATCCTTAGAGTACTCATTAATGCTCGCATTAATCTGTCAACTTGCGTTAATTCGGTCCAAAGATGGATTGAGTAGAGTTGAGCAGCACGCCTCTTCCACTGCACTATTTATTTGTTAAAACAGGTGTTAACACGACCTTCCATCCCTTCGCAACAGGCTTGGACCTGAAATAGGATTTTTGTTAAGAAGAAGTACTCTCCACCTCTCATTTGTGTTGCATCGCGTGACGAATTTCAAATATGCCTGTCGAACCTTCAACAAGGCATAGCTATTTACGGAGAACTACCAAAAATACGAATCTGAGTGTAGTCTTCTGGGAGTGTAGAGTGGTCAGTGGGTTATTCAGCGAACCAGCGGTTCGAAATGCACAATGCTGTTTTGAGCCACTTAAAAGAATGCTTGAGTATAGGACTGGGCTGCTTCACCTCCTCTACCTCTTCTAGCATTCACGGTTGGTGTCTCTATCTCTGACGTGTTTCAGCGTTCTCATTAATCATATCACCTTAGGCCTCTGGTTAAGGGAAGCATACAAATCCCGCTGACAGGAATGAGGTGTTCTCTCTACTGTCGTTTCTAATTGGGTGAACCGACGGTGTCCTCAGCGAAAGCTCTTTTAGATGGTGTGTTTCGCTTCTACAATGCCACACAATTACGTATCACTTGCTTGTGCAACAAATGGAAAGAATTAAAGCGATTTCTACTTTGTAAGCTTCAAGCAAGCTCTAATGAAGGTCCTTCATACTTCGTGAATTGGAGTGTCTGAATAGAGCGCTTGGACAAAAGATGTGATGTAGTGTTGTGTAACTCCACCACTTCAGTTGCTCACCATGCCCATGTAAAATGCAATAGCTTCCATTTATATTAACGTCACATGCACAAATTTTTGCGTGAAAATTGCCTCCTTTTTGATACCCAGAGAAGTTGGGCAATTTTTCTTGATTCACACTCCCATCATTCCACAGGTGAACGTCGATCACGAGGCAAGGCACGAGAACACCGCATCCACACGACCGTTCCTTCGACCACGGGCAATGGGAAGGCAGGCGAAAGCACAGAGACATCGACTGTAGCGGGACCGTTGACAGCGTCGCCTTCGACGTCGACATTTGTGCCTTGGGCAAACCGTCGCTTCTATCCAGTCGCACAGCGTGATTGGTTGCCAGCTCGTAACTACTTTGGGGACGAAGAGCCTTTCGTTATGGACGCTAAGAAGATGGGCAACTTGGGACGTTACTTCAATCACTCCTGTGAGCCGAATGTCTTCGTACAGAATGTCTTCATCTCCTCTCACGATCCGCGGTTCCCTGAAGTAGCCTTCTTCGCCAAGAGGTAAGGCATTTTACTCCCTCACCTCCTCTGCCAAGCCTTAGTGTCAATTGCCATGGTTCTAGTCCTATTGCTTAAATTTTTACTCCCTTTCGAACCCTGAGTATAAAACGCCTTTTTTCAGAAACATTGCAGCTGGCGAAGAGCTGACTTGGGACTACGGCTACGTCGTCGACGCTGTACCATTCAAGGTGCTCTACTGCTATTGCGGTGAACCCTCTTGCCGCATTCGACTTCTATAGAAAACTTGTTCCTATCTTGCTCTGCGCTGGTGATTTTTATCACTCCCTCAAATTGTGCATTTCCATCAGAATTTGTATAACAATTTATAGCATCGTTTTCGAATTAAAGCATGTTAAATTAATCAGTCTCCTTGGAGAAAAGCAACCGAGCTAAAATGGAAACTTAGAAGAATACAGGAATTGAATTTTATCGAACTGCGGACTGGTGAGTGAGATAATGGATAGCCGGATTGTTTTACTGGCCGCTTGGACGGAAGGGGGTATTGTTGGTCTCGTTTGTCGGCCTACTGGTCGACGAGGTCGGCTGCGACAGTGGCTGTATTGGCAGAGCGTCGGTCAGCCTCTCGACTTGGGGATTACCCTCACCGGTCAGGGCGATGTCACGCATGGCCGGGAGCTCGGAGAATGGATACCAGTCCTCCCCTGCGTTTAATTACATTCAGGTGAGGTTTTGGATATGTGCTTATAATTTGTCACGGTGCAAGATGGCTTCCACTAGCTTAGGGGGGAAAAATTTAAATGTGCTACTCTTTGCAAAGTGAGACCAGTTTGTAAACAAGTCTTGTTTTAACGGATTTTTCGTTATTAACTTTGCCGCACGCCACGGTATCTACGACATGAACTTGCATATACTGGAAATAAGGTCGAATAAGTTTTAGTGGCCCCAGAACGGTGACTTCGTAGTCAGTCCTAATAACATTATTCAAGTGGCATGCTTCGATGAGGATTCTAAATGCGCATATTCTGCACTTGAAAGTGACACGGACTACTTCCAACTTACGAATCTGTCGCCCTGCATTCTTACGTTCCTCTTCAGTTTCGAAGATTGTGTCGTGCTGTTCCCAGCGCTGATCACAGGCTGCACAGATAGAGGCTGAACTGAATGCAAGGCAGTTGCAGGGCCTGGCACTACAACGAAAAGGTGAGGGGTAGGGGACATGTTCCTCGTGGGTGTGTTTACACTTGCACTTCATGCGATAGGCCTCCCGATTAAAGTCGCGACGTTTGGGTAGCCAAAATTCACCGAAATCTTCCGGTCGTCCTGGTGCGAAGAGAAATCGCCTACAGGAGCATCCTGGCTGGGTAAAAGAATGGAAGAAGGAGACATGCCGAGCCTTTCTAGTAGGCAGACAGATCATGTTATTTCAGTAATCTGGTTAAAGTGCTTTGCTGTTTATTCAACTAGAAGGCACTCAAGAAACCGAAGTAATGGGGGTGAGGTTCATAAAATACGGAAGATTAAGTACCTGGGTGCACGCCGTATTTCGTGACGTGGCAGAAAACTTGTTATGATCCTTCAGAAGGTGCGAGCAGAAGCATCGACCCGCAGAGCTTACGCGTAGACAGTCTTGCCGTTCATATTTAGTTCCAGTAGGTCGATAAGAAACGTATATTCCTACGCAACAAATTCGACAAGCATAATAAGCATGCATGATGGTAGAAGTGCCTTCCTGAAGTAATACTGATAGAAACTTTACAGCTAGACAAACAGCGGGAAAACGGAACAAAGAGCAGCCAAAATTCAACAGACACAGACCAGTAGAAATGGCTTCCTTGACTGCAACAACTTCGGAATCAAAAAGAGCTTTGGTTTTTTTTGCAAAGTCTTTGTTCATTGCTTGTGCAACCGAAATGGTGTCATAATGTTTTGGAAGTTCAATCCTGTTTACTTGAACTTCTATTGTAAATCTTTACTTTTTCTAACCTCCAACTGGGGTTTTGTAAGCTCCCTCAGCAATGTTGCCATCCTGATCAGTTGGAAAAATTTGGTCATTATCCTTGGGTAAATTTGTCTCAGACTACAGAGTCTGCGTAAAAGCAAGTTAATACTTTGTTAACTTCTTTCTTCATGCTTTAAACAGTGTGACTTCAAGCAGTATCCTTTTCTAAATGTATGTTGATTAAGACCAAACGTTCCCACGAAATAAATGTAAATGTAAACGACTCTACTTATTTACGCGGCAACAGCGTTGAGCTACAGCCTGTTCGTCGATAAAACGTGTTTGACCTACAATAAATGTCACTAAAGAAAGACTTTAACTTCGAATGTATCACAAGAAACATTAAAGCAGCGTCTATATTCTCGCAAAAAATTACGGAAACAAATATATTTGAGATATAGCAGGCATGATATTCGTGGCTGTAGTTCCAATAGACATAAGGCAAAAGTGAAGTTTGAAGCACTTAACGTTCATGTTTGCGTATTAACACTTTGTGCCTTGTGAATAACGACTATTGCACGCATACAGGACAGATAAAAATCTGTGAACAAAAATGCGCCTAAAAAATGATTTTTTACAAGATTCGCATTGCGAACCTGTTCAGTGGCTGATAGTGTGGCATTGATTCATGCATAGTGTCGGCCGTTATGCAATAACTATGATATTGTTAATTTTTTACCATTAGTGCAATTGTTTTAAAATTTGCGCCTCTAAAATAAAATGTTTTTGTTATGCAGAAAAGTTTCAAAAGAAAACATGAAGGCTTGCATGAACGCATTGTTTCATTTGACAAGCCATTGATGGCTCGTTTAAATCAATCTCATTTCAACCTTGAATTACAGACCAACTTTTCATAAGTTTGCTGTGAGGTCGATGCCTTCGGCAGGTGGAGTGCCAGCTCCTACCATCACTCCTTTAAGATTAAACGTACATGGAAAATCTTCTAATACAATTGATACTGGAACATTTATTGAATTGGGCAAAGGTATAAATTCTTTTTGATTGGTCGACTCAGCTCCGTGAACTGTCAGTGCAGTGTTATTTTAAGCAAGCTTTTTTTTCGTTTTTTGGATAACGTCATATAGCTAGCATAATGTAGACATTATTTATTGTGTTTGTTTTGTAATTTGATCAGTTTTTTACCTTATGTGCTTTCCTATTAGATAGTCCTGATTTTCTAATCTATTTCACTACGAATGGTGAAACGCCCAATCCATCGCATCGGATCTTTGCAGGTCGTGAAGTTACCTATCGTTACCGAGCCCCATTTCAACTTAAAAGCGGTCGTCGAACTGTAAAGGCAATTGCTGTTCATAGGTTTACGCCTTGTTCGATTCATTGATACTTTACTTTAGGGTGACTAAAGCTGAAAGTCACATCGTTAGCAAAACATTTACCGTCGTACAGTTAGCGAATTCTAGCAGCAGCGGTAGCGTTTCTGGAGACGAACATCCAAAATCAATTGTTCCAGCTCACGGTGATACTCATTGTTCCATGGATGACTCATTGGATAGCTTTTTAAAAAGTATGACATCTCATTACGAAGACATATTTGCTTAATCAGAAGGTACAGACCAGGGATTTGCAGCCACGAATCACTCGGGCACGCAGATCAATGTCTATGGCAGTGTACCAGGCGTAGGCTGGGACATGAAAACTCCCGATGGAAACAACTTTACCAGCAACTTTTTACCACCTCTCCAAGCGCCACAGCTATATGCCCCGCCGCTCATCCCAACAGAACCCGGAATTACACAACAACAACTCACTGCTATTGTCGGCCATTTGACTCAGGTGTTGATATTTGCTAGTTTTATTCTTAATTTTTTAAGCTTATTAAAAAAGTTCAACCAAACGAGTACTTCTCTTTTAATGATTCCCTTTTCGTTAAGGCGCTTGCTATAATTAGCTAATCTGCTGGCTTGATTTAGAATAAGATTTTAAGATCAAACTGTTGTCTTAGATTTTTTTCTAACCTCTCTTGGAGGTTAAATGTTGTGTGACTTCCTGCGCCCTCTTTCCACGAATGCAA